AATATGAACAGGTTATGTAATATGTATATTTTATATAATTTATTTTGGTATAATAACTTAACTTCTTGTTATACTTATTTAAATGGGTTAAAATGTGACCGCTGTGATTCCTGGAAACACATGCAGTGTTCACTGCAAAAAGGTAAGAGGTATTACCTAAATTTCCTGGCTGTAACATGTTGAAAGAATCATGCCCACTTTCCACACATTGATTGACCTGTCACTTGATTCCTTTAACAGGTCGCGTCTACCTACAACTACTGTTGTATAAAAACAATTATTATTTGTAATAACATAATAACTTATCATCTTTTAGTTTAGAGGCCAGGGAAAAATGCTATTAAGTAAATAAAATTTTGAGGTTATAACAGCTGTCAGATAAAGTCTGTACAGTTATTTTTCTTTCCACACCATAGTATAAAACCATTAAAATCGTATCTAATCATAAATTAATAAGTTATAAAAAAAGAAATTGGTTATTTTGAATACCAACAAAACAAAGGACGAATGAACAAGTTTTTCGTAGTCTGAAATGGAACGTGAACGTTGCGTCTCCAAAAGTCTATTGAGAATGGTAAACAAAGTAACATAACTTTTTTCCCTGGCTTAATATGAAAATTAAATTATGCGATACGAAATAACAAAAAAATATGCAATTTTATAAGATATTTTACATCACTAGACACATTAGAAAATTTTCAGGTCAATAATGGACATGATTCTTTGTTTCTGTACTTAAAATAGCCAAAACTTAATAAAAGCACATTATTTAAAGATTACCTATAAAAGCTAACAGTAAGGCATCCGCAGAGTATTGAGGAAACAGAGGCGACCGTCTTCTCCAACCGAGAGCTTCGAACGTCTCCCCATCTGACGATATCATGAAGTTATACGGCATACCCGATGTGTTTCTCACCTGTAAAAATAATTACAAAATGAATTAGTTAGTGTTTATATCACTGCTAGTAGTCTTTAAAGAAACGCCCTCATCAATCACCTAATTTATCCAAAATGGAGAGAATTTGCCGTAATCCCTGCGCTTGGAAGTTAGATTGTCGATCGCAATACCAGACGATGCTGCTTCTCTCGACGCTGCTTACCCACGCAGGTCTAAGAATTTTATTATAATGCCATCTACAGGTGATCACAAGAATATGTTGTCATGCATTTCCCAAGTTAGGAACTTATGTCTTTTACGATGCTTTTTTCCAAAATGTCAACCTCACTTGAACTCACTAATCGGTCAGCCCGTTTACTTTCATTAAAATCTATTTAGGCGTTTACGATGGATTGTGTAATGAACACTCAAAAATATTCACAAATTTTCACATGTATAATACACATAATATTCTTATTTTATAGCTTATAAATACGAGTGGCAGCTTCATACCGGTATGCGAAATTTTTAGGGCACTTTTCACTAGATGGAGTCACGACCTGGTAAGACATAATTGATGCAGCTTTCTGAGCCGTGTTTCGTGGCGATCCCTGGGAGAGGACTATGTCCAGCAGTGGACTTTCGAAGGGTTGTACGGATAATGAAGTACTGAATATGCTATACAGATTAACTGTTACACAAAGCCCGGAGAATAATTAAAACACACAGGAGGAAGCATGGAGGTCAATCGTATAATGAGTGTAGAGAACCGGAGACCCTTCTTACGGAAACGAGATCATCTCAGTCTTCAGGGGCGACAACGCATCTGCATTTTGATTCTTCATTGAAGATAAATGTAGATGTCTATGGGCCACGGCAACCACTTACAATCAGGTGGAGTGTATGCTCGTTGGTTACCCTTATTCTATAAAAAAATATTCCAAATGATGTTCAATTTATAATCAGAAGGCAAATTGATACAAAGTGATTCTAAATATTTTTGATTCTAATTGTTTTAAATATTCTGTATCAGCTCTTAAGTTAACTGTAATTTATGACATCCACACGATCGCTAGCAACAGAGTTTAGCCTATTTAAAACATACATACCTACCTATGAAAGACACGCTAAGTTCTTATAAGATTTTAAAACATATGATTTATAAAGACGAGTAAGAATAATATCAACTTCTACAGATTTTAACAAAAATCGCAATGGATAAGCAAAGCAATCAAGTCGCAGAAATTTAATTGGCTTACAAATTACAAGTATTTCGATAATCTAGATTCAACAAATGAATTAATTTAATTGAAAGCGTAATGATTAAAAAACGAATGAGTATTTTTACAAAAGACTAGCGACCTGCCCCGGCTTCGCACGAGTGATATCTGGATTCTACAACAGCGCCACCTACCGGGTCCAACTATGCATATAACCTTCGAGGTGCAAGCAATATGTTGATAAAGTTTTATATTACTAGCGACCTGCCCCGGCTTCGCACGGGTGAGATCTGGATTCTACAACAGCGCCACCTACCGGGTCCAACTATGCATATAACCTTCGCGGTGCAAGCAATATGTTGATAAAGTTTTTATATTACTAGCGACCTGCCCCGGCTTCGCACGGGTGAGATCTGGATTCTACAACAGCGCCACCTACCGGGTCCAACTATGCATATAACCTTCGCGGTGCAAGCAATATGTTGATAAAGTTTTATATTACTAGCGACCTGCCCCGGCTTCGCACGGGTGAGATCTGGATTCTACAACAGCGCCACCTACCGGGTCCAACTATGCATATGACCTTCGCGGTGCAAGCAATATGTTGATAAAGTTTTATATTACTAGCGACCTGCCCCGGCTTCGCAGAGGTGAGATCTGGATTCTACAACAGCGCCACCTACCGGGTCCAACTATGCATATGACCTTCGCGGTGCAAGCAATATGTTGATAAAGTTTTATATTACTAGCGACCCGCCCCGGCTTCGCACGGGTGAGATCTGGATTCTACAACAGCGCCACCTACCGGGTCCAACTATGCATATGACCTTCGCGGAGTGCAAGCAATATGTTGATAAAGTTTTATATTACTAGCGACCTGCCCCGGCTTCGCACGAGTGAGATCTGGATTCTACAACAGCGCCACCTACCGGGTCCAACTATGCATATAACCTTCGCGGTGCAAGCAATATGTTGATAAAGTTTTATATTACTAGCGACCTGCCCCGACTTCGCACGGGTGAGATCTGGATTCTACAACAGCGCCACCTACCGGGTCCAACTATGCATATAACCTTCGCGGAAGTGCAAGCAATATGTTGATAAAGTTTTATCGCAATCTGATGAACGGTATGGCAACGCACGAAATATAAACCAATATTAATTATTATAATTATACTCGTATTAGATTACGTTAAAACTATTAGATTACTATTACTAGGTTACTATTAGATTATCCGCTTTTTAGGTAGAGCAATAATATAGTATAGATATAACATTGTAGTGGCGGTGCAAGAATATTTACTACCTCATATCGTCCCGAGGGTGCCGTAAAAGGCGATAGAGGGAAAATGAACAAAGATATGGGCATTTATGGAGATAACAATTCCAAATCATTAAAAAAAACTGCGGTTGCGAACCCGCATGCCGAGCGTGGCAACTATGGTAAAATTCCCCCATGAGGCAATCTATGGACATAAATAATAATAGTAATAATAATGTCCTCCAGACCGAATTTCGGCCACGGCGGCCTGCCTCAACGGAGGCTAGCTATCGGCGCAGGACAGGATTATAGTGCCCAAGTGTATGCGCAAGCACAGGTGCACCCTCTATTCCCTCACTCTCATAATCCGATGGGACGGTAAACCGACACGATCGGAGAGAGATCAAGCGCAGGACCAACGGCTCTACGTGCCTTCCTAGGCACGTGGGTGAGACACCGCCAACTTCCTGACTCCGGGCAACTACTGAGAATTTCTTGACGGAAAAACTCAATGATAAATTTTTTGGCCCGACCCGGGATTCGAACCCAGGACCTCATGATCAGCAGTCGCACTACTACAACCACTAGACCAACGAGGCAGACATAAATAACTAACATATATAATATAAGAGATGGAATAATATGGAAAGACGTATTAGGTATTAATAATGCGCAGACCAACTTTTAGTATGTAAATATAATTGTCATTAAAGATAATTAACATATGTGGTATGGTGTACGTATGAAGATGATGCAGTTATAATACTGTGGGATAATTTTCAGGATTCTATAATAAGTTATTTCAGGTAACTTTAGGCAGATTTGCTATTCTATTGTGTTCCTTAGCTATCTTACAAACATGGTTAGAAAATGAATGGGAATGACATATCCGAACGTTAAGTCACGTCACTGTCACGTGGCTTACCGTTCATTCCATTCACAATACAATGTACGATGTTATCTTGACTAACCCTGTAGGAATGATTCCGCCGTGGGTAACGGTGAAAGAGAATCGCATCACCCGTCTACTGCGTGCGTGTGTCATATGAATCGATTACAATAATTGCCAGATCGGTCTCCGATTTTGTCAAATTATAACATTCACACCGACGCGGCGACAGAACCAGTAAATAATATAACAATACAACAAAGTACACACAACGTCAGGAACATATTTTCTAGCTATAGCCGTGTATTTCGGTATTTTGATATTTTCGAATAAGAATACAAGAGAGGCAAGGTGAATATTAAGATTCGCTGAAAGAAAAAAACGCTCAGCACTCTGTTGTAAAATAAATTGCACAGTTAGTGTATTATATTAAGCATATTGTTAAATAATAACGATTTATATATATATATATATATATATAATGTATTTTGATACATATCGTACCAACAGAAATTACAAGAAAGTTATTAAAAAAATTAAATAGATGTTATGTTGTAGTGATTACAAAACCCAAGAAGAAATCCCTTGTCATTTGTCGCAGTTTTAACAATCCGAGTAATTAATATAATAGAAACAAAACAGAGCTAACTATCAAATATTTCTCGGCGAACTCTTCCAAAGTAACGAGAATGAGCGACGAGCGATGCACAATTCGCATGACGTCACGGCCAGGTTCCACAGGCACTCGGAAAAGGAGAAGACCTGCATCTAGATGGGCAGACGACATCACTCGAGTCGCAGGCAAAAACGGCAGAAGCCAAATACCGAGAACGCTGGCGTTCTCTGAGGAGGCCTTCACCCTCACTACTTGAAGGGTTCATGCATGGTGTTTTTTATCTTAAATCTTTATTCTATTTTGAATCTATAATTTTCTTTTTTTATTTTTATTTTCATTTTATTTCTATTTTTTTAATTATATTAAAAACAAAAATTATATGTATATTAAAAATGAATGAATTACTAAATATTAAATGTAATTAGCATTTAATATTTAATTTAAAACATAATTAAAACCAGAAATAAAAATAAATATTAAGTAATAAAAATACAACTATTAACTCTTGAGATAATAACAAAAGCAATGTAACAGTCCTTTTTTAACTTATTATATTGTTATTATCAAAATATATTATTAGAAGTAAATGTTATGTGCAATGCATGATATAAAAAATACCTTTTAATTTTTATTTTTTATTTTATTGTATAGGTTAAGGTTATACGATTCTAGAGTGACGCACTGTTTATGGGCCGATAGCAACGATTACAACAAGATGTATGCGTGAACACGGTATAGAAGGAGTCTAAGACGAAGCCCAATTATTATGTTTCATGTTTTATTCAATAGCGCTTTTTTGTTCCACTGTTGGGTGTAGACTTTAACTTGTGGTAGATCCGCGCTGCAGTTGTATTGTAGCTACTAAACGACTAGTTCGGAACTGAGGAAGAACCACGATCTCACAGAATACCAACATATTGCTACTATGCTTCGTATGGTGAGTGTAGGAAACTGAAGACCCATTTCCCTGACCACGAAGCATTCCATATTAGTTCTCAGAGGTGACAACGCACCTGCATATTAATTCTCAATCGTTTATAGATGTTAATAAACAACACTTCTTTTGTAAATTTGCAACTTCAATTAAATAGGTAATTACAAGTGGAAAGTGATATAAGTTTTCCAACGCCCTTTACTTGTAAAAACGTCAAAGGAATGGACAGCAGGCGGTCTCACAAGCGGTTAAGATATCCGGGCGGCATTTAGTCCAAACAATACAAATGTATCTCCTATATTCTCCCTGGATAATGATATTATAGCAATTTTTAACGATACAATCAACATCCACCAATGCTATATCCTATATTCTGTTTCTTAAATAAATTAAATATTATTTATATTTGTATTTTTACAAAATTAAAGTCTAGCGATATTTGAATCAAGACGATCAAAACTGAATGATAAATAAAAGTGCTGGAAGATCTGAAATTATTTCTACTAATATTCTTATTGATCGAATCGAATCTAACAAACATCACTTTGGCGGGGTTAGGGAGTCTCGTATGTTAGTGTTATATGTCTCGCCTAGGGAGTATCGTATGGTGAGTGTAGAGAACCGGAGACACTTTTACTGGAAACGAGGCGTTCCACCTTTGTCTTCAGGGGTGGCAACGCATCTGTATCTTGATTCTTAATCAAAGATTGATGTAGGTGTCTATTGGTAACAACATCTAGTTACCATCAGGTGGACTATATCCTTGTTTGTCATCCTTGTTCTTATCCTTATTAAAAAAACGTGAAATCACTTTGAATCTTATAATTAAATTTACCTGTATCGCATTCAGCAGCTTAGCGCAGTCTGATGTGCCGTAATACTGCCTCGTGCCTGTCTCGACGACTATCATCTCTGACTTGCATTTGTTGAAGGTCTCTGGGCAAATGTCTGGATCTGGTTGATCTTATCCCATTGAAAACGGCTCACCATAAGCACCGGCGGCTCGACTGGCAGTAGAACGTTCTCTGTAAAATACATGTCCTTGCATGTTAATATTTATTTTTATTTATTTATTAAAGTACACCAACGATTGTTGCAACAATGCAGAAACAGTAAGCACACGTCAACTTAAAAATGTCAAATTAGAATGTGGAATAAGAGGTCCAGTGAAAACCTGGTGTAGAAAATATTTAGAAAATAGAAATATGTTGTTCGTGTAAATGGAGTGGATAGTAGGCTAGGAAAAGTAAAATTTGGTGTACCGACTGGCCCTGTGTTTGGCCCGATCGGATATATAATGCACGTCAATAGCATGATAAATGTTATCAAGAATCGTAGAATATATCTGGAATAAATAGTAGCCAAATACAGTTAAAAGTGCTGCAAGATTTAAACAATTTAATAAAGTGGTCCCACGACAATGGTATTATCATGAACTTGAATAAAACCAAATTTATGGTAATATCATCACCCTATAACCGTTCTAGAAAAACAGTAGATATAGCTCTTATGGGTCACACTTACGATTGTCTACACACTGACCGGTCGAGCTCTGCTGTCTTTTTTATAGGATAGGGCGATGAACGAGCACACAGTCCACCTGATGGTAAGTGGTTGCTGCGGTCCATAGACATCCACATCTATCCTCGATTACAAATCAAAATGCAGATGCGTTGTCACCCGTGAGGACTAAGATGCAATGCCTCGTTTCCAGTAAAAAGGGTCTCCGATTTTCTACACTCACCATACGAAACACAGCAGCATTAAGCTGCTATTTCACGGTGGTATTCTGTGAGTGCGTGGTCCTTCCCCGGTCGAGCCGACCCATTCGTGCTACAACTATACTACTAATATAACTGAAGCATGGCTCTACCACTTATAAAATATATAATATAATATACAGTCTGCTGCTGCGAAAAGATACAATGTGTAACAAACTATAAATATTTAGGGTTGGTTATAAAGGGTTTTTCAACAAGAACTTTGTTTTATAAAACAAAATAAAACAAAGAGTTTAGATGAAGATGATTCAAATTTTTAATGTTTTACGAAGAGAAAAGTTTGGCAATTATGAATGAAACATGATATCTGGCAAATGTCCACCACGACCACGCTGACAGATGTCGATTCTTTCATCAAAGTTTTAATCATTTTTTGGCAAAATGGCGGGTCTATTTCGTTAATCACGTCACGTTTTAAGGCCGCGATCGATTCGATTGGCTCCGTATAGACTCTGTCCTTAACATAGCCCCACAAAAAATAATCCAGTGGTGTTAAATCACACGATCTGGCTGGCCATTTAACAGCTGAATTTCGTGAAATTATGCGATCGGGAAATTTGGTTTGCAATAAATTGATCGTTTCGTTGGCTGTGTGACATGTGGCACTGTCCTGTTGAAACCACATGTTTGTGATATTGATGTCAACAATAATAGGCCAAAATTGATATGTTAACATCTCGCGATATCGTAATCCATTGACCGTTACCGCATTTCCAGCCTCATCTTCGAAAAAAAACGGCCCAATCACGCCTCCAGACTACATAGCGCACAGTGACACGTTGAGCATGCAAAGGCTTCTCAATAATCGCTTTAGGATTTTCAGAAGCCCAAATGCGGCAATTTTGCTTGTTGACGTACCCTAACAAGTGAAAATGGGCTTCGTCTGAAAAAATGATTTTTTCAGAAAAACCAGCGGGCTGTTCCTGAATGAATTGAGCGAATCTACGGCGATCTGAATGGTCGGTCAGCTTCAATTCCTGCACCAGTTGAACCTTGTAAGGCTTCAAAGCCAAATCCTTACGCAAAATTCGCCATGTTGTGGTTTTGGATAACCCCAATTGTTGAGAACGTCGAGGAATTGACAAATTTGGATCTTCTTCAACACTGTGGCTCACGGCTGCGATGTTTTCGGTTGAACGACCCGGTCAAACACGCGTTGGTGTTGGCACATTTTGTACTGGGCCTGTCGATTCAAATTTAGCGACCAAATTCTTAATAGCGGTCTCAGAAGGACGATTATGTTGTCCGAAAATATCACGAATTTTACGAAACGTAACTTTAACAGAACCACCATTTTCATAGTGGATTTTAATTATTTTAATGCGATTTTCGAGCGAAATTGAATTCATTGTAGCAATTGCCAAAGCATCTACTACGAATACGTCATGTTGTTGGTGTTGCCCCAATTGAAAATAAAAATCTTGTTGAAAAACCCATTAGATAATCGTTTCTCATGGGACTTGCATGTTGAATTAGTGTTTAACAGGATTAGGGCAGTATTAGGTAAACTGAATTAAGTATATAAAATATGTTGTGAAGCGAGGAATAATGTACATGCTGTATTATGCCCTAGCAGACGCAACGATCGGATATGGCTTAGGTGCATATGGACTCACATTCCCAACATATCTTAACAAAATAAAGACTATGCAGATAAGATTCTTAAAGATATTAGGTGATCATGAAACGAAAAATGCTCTAGATAAAAATTATGAAATGTTACTTAAAATTTGCAAAATAATTGCCATAGACATGAAAGTAAAATCCATCATCATATTAGAACAGCATGGTATGGTAACATTTAAGAAACCTAGGACATATATACCAAGCATAAGGAAAACTAAACAGGGAAAATTACTTTGGACGGCGTACAAGGCAATGGGTAACTCCAACTTTGTGTAATGAGGTAGCGGATGTATACGACGAAAGCGTAACTAAGTAGCAGCTCAAATCCATCTTGAGGAAACATTATCTGTCGTTGTGTCCATAGTGGTGAATGCTTCTTTAATTATTTATGTATATTATATATACCAGATATTGTTATGAAGGAGTGTGAAACGATAAACTGTTGCGTTGCCAACAACTGGCTTACAGTTTGGCAAAATTTAAAATATAAATAATGTGCACTCTTTATAGGAATAAAAAAAGATACTAATTACACAATCAATTAAAGATATGCATCGCATGCTTCAAGTTACGTATCTATATTTCGGAACTACGCAAATTTGTCAAAAAAATCCAAGCTCCTACACAAACAACATGACGTCATATCTAGGAGTCTTAGACACAAACTAATACTACCAACTTCAAAACTAAAATCTCATTCCTCCAGCCCATTTGCCATGTCTATAAAAGTATATAATAAATTACACGAATATATAAAAAACATTAAAGACGAAAAACCATTCGTAAAAAATTAAAGCAACTACTTATAAACCAGTGTTACTATGGTACTTCTGAATTATTAGAAGATAAAAATATAATATAATATAGATATGTAAATATAAATATGTTAGGTAATAATGAAATGCCATCCTACTAAATAAATTACAATATAAAATTGTAATAAAATTTAAATGTTTCAAATAATTTAATAAAAATTCGACTGTGCTAATTATAGTTACTATAATAATACCTTAAGAGTCAAAATCAATTCAGTAATAAATAATAACAATTATAGTAACCAAATTTAATGTGTGTATGATAAATATTAATATTAAATAATTATTTAACAATAATAATACTAAAACAACTAACAATAAATAAATGTTCCTCCTTCATAATATTGCTGTGCCCATCAGGGTCTATAGAGATACCATAACAATGGGCTTACGAGGAATTCGTAACGGAACTTTAAAATTGAATTTCATTAGGAGTGCAGAACAACGCAACTGATATCTTATTATAATTAAAAAGAAGGATAGGTGAAGTAGATCCCTACGGTTGTCCAATCCAAGGGAATCAATCGCATTGATTCCCCTTTCTAATTACCTACTTAGGATTTGTTAACAGGAACAAGGTACGCTACGATAAGGCTGACATATCCTTGTAGTGTAAGTCTTTTAAATAAAGATAGATAATAAAAGATTTGATATTGAATTAAAGATATATATCTCACCTGATCTGTTTTGGATAACCAACTAATAGATGCCCATTACAATTTCCCGCGAAGAGAACTAGAAAGAGTAAAGTGACGAGCACGGTGGTCTGGTATCTTTGTTCTTCTTGTACTGGTCTTCTTGGAAAACGCTGCAGGAGCGGCGTCGCCTCGGAAGTTCTGGGTTCATCTTCGGCGCGGTAGGAGTTGGTACGTGACTCGTGATCTGTAAAAGTCAATTATTGTGTTACATAGAATATGAAGTTAATATTTTACTCTGGCTGTATTTAATTAAAATAATTTTTAACGTTAATTAAAACCGTACAACTGAGCCATATTATTATCATTCAGGTTATATGTATCAATCACGTAATACACTGATCTAAAGTTTTTTTTTATTATGCGATCATGTTCCAATTTAATAGGCATATTTAATGTCACCACACGCCATTATATCCTGCATACTGTAACTTATCTGCTTGATATGCCAATTTTAATACAACATTTAGGTACCCAATTTGTTTGCCTACCACAGCTTATGATAAATTATTGGTTTTAGTTTATCAATCTACAATGTAAGTTAAATAATTCCTCTAGTAGACGAAGACTAGTAAAGTGCGAGTTAGGCTGACTCTATTAAGGTTCCGTATTTGTACTAGAAACATAATATATTAGATACATATACCTAGCACATGCACCAGGTAATAGCGGTTTAAACATGTTCACTACCCAACATCATCTCTCGATTTGTGGTGGGGACCACGAATTTCATCTTTGGTATGCTTCGTTTTCATTAAAAAGGTTCAAGGTACACCATTCTTATGAAACACAGCAGCATAAAGCTGCAATTTTACGCTGATATATTAAAGTTACAGCCTATATAAGCCCCACTCCTGGACACAGGCCTCCGCTCATTTCTGAGAGGGTGTTAGGGCAAGTTATTGTCCACCACGCTGCCCCAATGCATGTTGGCGAACTTCACATGTCTTCCAAATATTTTTTTCTTATTTTTTAGACATTCACAAACAATTTACCGGAAAAATAAATGTGATCAAATTGACCTAATAGTAAGAAAACATTACTTTTATAATTATGCTGAAAAATTTATTAGCATAGACAGTAAACAGTGTTTATTAAATTATTAATTAAAAAGGGTTTGTACAATACATTACATAAAATATTCCGAATTTGGGTTCTAAGAAGTATATAATTTCCGAGCTAGACACCGCAATAACCCGTGAAAGAAAAATTAAAAAAAAAATAGTTTGTTTTGGCCACAGTTTACAAACTGTCAATCGATGTTTTTGCAGTATTAGTTGTTTAAAAGTAGTACATGTAGTATAGTACACTTTTTATGTTCGTGATGGTACATAATATTCAGAAATTTTGAAAACCTACGTAGCTTGGTTTTTGAGAGAGGCCACGCAACAGTAACGGTTTTAAACTGGCCACTTTCACGGGCTATATTTTTATTTTATTTATATTGGTAGAGACAATAACTCTGCATATGCTAGTGAAATTTATTACGTAGTATTTATTTTATATACGTACATTTTAATAAAAGTATATAATATTTACATGAGAATTAAAATTCTTACCTCTTTTGTATGTATCAGTTATTCATAAAACATCACATCACAGTGTGCATGCAAATGAATATAGGTCTGTTAAACTGACTATTTTGTTTTGCATTCCACACTAACTTCTAGTGTTGTGATATCGAATATTGCAAGAAATCACACAAAAATATTTAAAGCAAATATTATGTAACTTGTAACTTATAAATGTTACTAACATATCCTTCAAACCAACAACATGGATAAATATTAGAAATATGTGTTTCTATTATAATATTTATTATTCAAATTTTAAACCAAAACGTACTGGAGCAGCCCGGAGGACATTTCCTTGACATAAAAAAACTTCTTATCAACGAGAGAAGACCTGAGCTCTGGAGTAGAATGTACCTGTATAGACTGTAACTTTACCTTTTATATATTACAAATAATAATGATTATTTGTTTTATAGTGTAATTACATATTTTTTTGTTTACTTTAAACTCTATACAAATAAATGAAATTGAAGTGTCGGTTTGTCAAGTCAAAATAACAGTTTTTTAGTAAATGCATATGAAATAATGCACGCTACTTATAACTATAGAAAAAATTAAAATTTTTGTCTGTCTGTCTGTTTGTTCCGGCTAATCTCCAAAACGGCTGGAGTGATTTTCACTGGCAGATAGCTGATGTTATAAAGAGTGACTTAGGCTACTTTTATTTCAGAAAAAATAATTAGGATTTCGAGCAAAACAATTAAAACCCATAAAATCCAATCGTAATACAATCTACGCGGACGAAGTCGCAGGGAGTAGCTCCTATGAAATATTATTATTTTTATACGTGGTAGAGCCGTGCTGCAGTTATAGTAGAAGTATAGTTGTAACACGAATGGGTCGGCTCGACCGGGGAAGGACCACGCTCTCACAGAATACCAGCGTAAAGTGGTAGCTTAATACTTCTGTGTTTCGTATGGTGAGTGTAGAGAACCTTAGACATTTTTTACTGGAAACGAGCCATTCTATCTTAGTCCTCACAGGTTAAAACGCATCTGCATTTTGTTTTAGAGCAAATTTAAAAATGTAAATTAAAAATATGTTTTTACATTAAGTATTGAAGTAAGTAGGTATCACATTAGTATTCGTTAATCAATGTTACGGAGAGGGGGGATTTCTAACACAAGTATTTATTTACTTATAAGAAGTCCTCATTCACAACACTGCTATGTAAAAACTCTGATACTGAATAAATAATTTGATTTGATTTGGTTAGATATTTTTTATATTATATATAGGTAGTTAGCTTCTGAAATTTCTTTATTTTTTCCATACACTATATCACGGACTTTGGAAATTTTATTAATAATTTTTATTTTATTAAAAATTTATATTACTTTTAGTTATTAGAAATCGGTTTTCTTAAGTTAATATTTAACCTTTTAAGTTGCCTTTGTAGCCTAGGAATCCATGCTTACTGTTAGTTTACTGGCAGCTTCCCTCTCTTTCTTATATTTTTGTACTGTTAGTAAAAAAATCATAATAAAAAGAATTAAATACCATACTAAAGTATTTACTGGTACTTAAAATTTTGAATGTTTAGTTGGTTTTTAAAGAAGTAAATGCCATTTTAAAATTTGTTTAAGAATAATATTCATTTATTGAAAGCTATTAAAGTTCACTGCACAACACAGGCTTCCGTATGGAATATCTCATGATGGGGACATTTGCCACAGTTGCCACGCTTGGTGGCCGGTGGCCGGGCTGGCAATTGCATTTTTTTCTTCTATTTGTTATCCGTAAGACGCTATAGCCATCACGTGATTTATGTCCCTCGGTCGCCTCTTGCGGCACTCAAGTGATGTGGAAATTATTAATATTAACGATTTCTAATAGTAGGGAAAGGCACACATTTTATGACCACGGTTTTAAAGTTTTCTTTTTATAGGATAGGGTGACAAACGAGCACACAGTCCACTTGATGGCAAGTGGTGCTGTGGCCCAAAGATATCTATATATAGGCTCAATTTACATTGCGGCGGAATGGAACGGAACGGAAGCGTCAATGTCACCGCGACGTGCTGCAAGGCGCACGAATTCGCCTTCAGCCTATACGACAGTCGCCTTGGGGCTGTACAAAATTTAGTCTAGATTCCACGCCCTTACGGGCACTTCGAGAATTCCTCGGAAGACGCGAGACTTTCTTTTTTGGCTCATATCTGGTTTGCGCGTTACACAATTAACATAAAGACTTATTTTACTATGTACAATTTCGTTACAAAAATTCGCTTCCATTCCGTTCCGCAGCAGTGTAAATTGAGCCATCCTCAATTACGAATCAAAATGCAGATACGTTGTCACCTGTGAGGACTAAGATGCAATGCCTCGTTTCCAGTAAAAAAGGTTTCCGGTTCTCGACACACCATACGAAACACTTGTTCTGGGTCTGGATGTTTGTCTTCGTGAAAGTTACGTATGTAAAATGCCCCCACGATACAGTAGAAAAACCTAATATGGAGGTAATTTTTATAAATAAAAAAACTTTTTCCTCATTATATGAAACAGCAGCATTGTTTTGCTGTTTCGTGCTCATATTCTGTGAGAGTGAAGTATATGGTGAGTGTGGTTACTAAAAAAACATTTTTTAACAAAAATTTATATGATAGGTGCAGCCTGCAAAGTAACAGAGGACCATCATCACATACAATATAAAGAGATTTGTGAGTGAGATACTTTATTTTTTTTATTGAATTAGGTACACAAACAGACAGTAGTTATAAAAGGTCTAAAATTAAAAGTATATTTGTGTTGATCTAAACTACAATCCAAAAAAGTATACACAGCATAATAATATAACTGCAGTATAATATTAGTCTTAGTAAAAATAAAACAGATAAAAATACATTAAATGTTAAGAGCAACACGTAAATTTCTTTCAAATCTAATCAGGCTACTATCGAATATATCTATATGTATGTTACTACGCTTAATCTCGTCGTAATCACGGCACAATTTGACAACAGGGTTGAAAAAGGAAGTGTTATTCTTGTGTATGTCTAACCTGAAAATTCTTTGAACACATAAAAACAACCAAACCAAATAAAATAAAAGTAAAAAAAACCAAAATAAATAGTTTTAATCTTCAATGTTCGCGTAAATATAAGAAATCATTATTCTTTGAACACGTTGTTGTATACTGGAATTGAAGTTAATCAGCCTTAGTAACTCTGGGCTCTATTCGAGAATGCACAATCTTGTGCAAAAAAACTTGGTCGGCAAATTGTCTCCTCAAAGATAATCGCTGGACATTAAAAAACTTTAGTCAAGAGTTGTATGATGGTAGATGACGCAAGTGACCATATCTGCCGCAAACACTGCGAAGGAAACAACTTTGCACCCTCTCAATACTGTCATAATGTACCTTATAAAAGGTGACCATACAGTGGAATTATACTCCAGTACAGAATGAACTAAAGTATAAAATAATCAAAATGATGCAAGAGATTTGGAGAAATTTTTCGTTACACAAATTATAAACCCTAAGGCTTTGAAACTTTTTTGGGTTATGACGAAACGAAAATTTTGAATCGAAATATACGCCCAAATCCTTAACAATCTCCTTGCGCGTCAGAGGCTGACTACTGATATTGTATTTAAAATGCAGGTAATTATTTTAGTAGTGAAAGTGATAACTAATACTTTGCAAAGATATGGCGATACTTCACACCAGGACAGTTGCTTATACCATAAAGAGTATTAGATTGTGCATGGAGTGGCATAGCTAGCTTGTACCATGTCTTTTTAAGGTCCCCACATAGATAGAGCTGCAATCACACATCAAGACATGGACATAATGGGATACAATTAGAGGAATTACAACTAAATTACAGTGACTGCAGATTTCACATTAGTGAATATTATATGCCTAGGAGGATGAGTACTTATATGTAAAAGTGTAAAGCACTTCAGTGTAAAAGTGTATATCATCATTACATGTCCTCTACTGAACATAAGCCGACCAAGGAATGCCACAAAACACTGTCCTGAGTGACCTGCATCCATCAACTTCTCCCATTTCTTACCAGGTCATCACTCAATCTACTGGGGGGGTTGGAATAACCTACATTTCGCTTACTAGCATGAGGCTGCCATTTGATAAGCTTTCCCCCTCATCCATTGTCGGTTCCTTGAGATATGACTGGCCCATTGCTAGGGTTGGCATGATTAAAACAAGTTGTTTAAAAAAGGTGTTTAAAACAGGTTTTAAAATATTTTGAAATAAAACTTTGTTTTTTATTAATTGTTTAAAAACACAGTTTATAAATATTGCTTAAAATGTTAAATATATTACAAAAAAAAAACAGTGTTTTTATAATTACTTTTAAATTTTTTAAATGCAAATGAATGGAAGTAAATGAAAACAAATTAATTAAGACCCAAAATAGCTTGAAATAAATTTACAAGTTGAGTTCATGTTGTATTTTTCATTTAAATTATGAATTATGAGAAAAAGTTGATTTAGAAATTGTAATTAAAACATTATTTTAATACAAGAAATTTATTTAATCACAAGCAAACAACAAAGAGATTTTTCGTCATTTTAACATTTCCCCAACCTATTATTTTTGTATAGAATATAACATACCATTGGGAACCATTTTTAAAATTTTCGTTTGTGTGTATGCCCGAGGTAATCTTCGGAATTACTGAACTGATTGCAATTAAACTTCACAAAAAATAATGAGTAATACCAAGAGTGACCAAGCATAAATATTGTTCGAAAAATTTAAAGATTTTATTAAAATAGAAATATTGATGATAAATGACAATATGAATATAAGTTAAACCATCTTTGTCATGATTTGTCATGATTGTCTTGTTGTCAATTAAATCCCCCAATCCCAAGCTAGTATGGGTCGCTAGTTATAAATGTTATTTTAAAATAAATGTACCAACTTGCATTTACAATTCTTTTCCAAGATTTTTCACTATTAGCGGGTTTTCTGTCTGTGCTTGTTGACGGTATACGTTCTTTGTCCATAGGAACTGTAATTACTAATATTTATCAAATTTGTATAGGTACTTAATTGGTTTTGAATATGAATGTAGCGTGACACATATGTGTATGGTGATTGCTGGCTGTGTGATATAGAATATTGTAGGTTGATAAATTATTGAACATTGACTAAAAATGATTATATGTTTAGATATAACATGAGTTACCTTATGATATATTGGACTCATGCCTACTAATGAACCATTGTAAGTAAGCGCTTGACTATTATTCCAAATAATTCTTATGTAGCATGACATAGATGTGTATGGTATTGCTGGCTGTGTGATGATTGTCTTGTTGTCAATTAAATCCCCCAATCCCAAGCTAGTATGGGTCGCTAGTTATAAATGTTATTTTAAAATAAATGTACCAACTTGCATTTACAATTCTTTTACAAGATTTTTCACTATTAGCGGGTTTTCTGTGGGTACTGTGCTTGTTGACGGTATACATTCTTTGTCCATAGGAACTGTAATTACTAATATTTATCAAATTTGTATAGGTACTTAATTGGTTTTGAATATGAATGTAGCGTGACACATATGTGTATGGTGATTGCTGGCTGTGTGATATAGAATATTGTAGGTTGATAAATTATTGGACATTGACTAAAAATGATTATATGTTTAGATATAACATGAGTTACCTTATGATATATTGGACTCATGCCTACTAATGAACCATTGTAAGTAAGCGCTTGACTATTATTCCAAATAATTCTTATGTAGCATGACATTGATGTGTATGGTATTGCTGGCTGTGTGATATAGAATATTGTAGGTTGATAAATTATTGAACATAGACTGTAAATAATTATATGTTTAGATATAACATGAGTTACATTATGATATATTGGACTCATGCCTACTATTGAACTGTTGTAAGTCAGCGCTTCACTACTATTCCATATAATTATAACTGATGATGCAGACAAGGACGGTAAAGAGCGCTGACTTAGCTTAACAAAGTCCTATTATATATCATAGGTATATCTTAACCGTTAATATTAAACACAATATTACACATAGGAAATATATATAGGTAATATAATTTGTAAATAAAACAAATATCTGACAAATAACACAAAGGTTGCTTCCATTTGTAAGCAAACTTTTCTTACCAATCGGTGATAAATTCATTCTTAGATGAGCTGTCCAAAGGAGCACCCAACTAATGAATTTCTTGACACATACACATATTACTTACAAAAATTTTTATATAATAAAAAAGATAAGACTCTACAGCGCAACAATGGAAAAAATATAATATAAAGACAATGACATTGACAACCATAGACTATTATTGTTGTTGTTCTTATTATTCGAACGAGAGAGTAGGCAAAGGAACGGAGCCATACAGCCTAACACCACAGACTTAAAATTAAAATTATAGCGTGGCCTCGAGTAAGAAAGAACGATAACGTAGTTTTAGGTTACACAATAATCTTTATGACTATTAAACATATTTAGATAAAATTTTTAATTGTTCTAAGGACTGAATTGAACAAAATTCACCAATCTTAAGCTCACAAAACTTTCTGACTTCTCACATATACCAACTTGTAAACTCAAAAAAGTGTAGTTTGCTAAACAAAAAAACCGGCACGGAGAAAGGGACAAACAATCACACCGCTCTGTCTCATTTCTATGTAAGACGTATGCATTAATCTATCTTTTTCGTGTGCGAATACGAAAGAAGTCAATGGTTATCGGGAGTTTTGGCGGGAACTTGGTCGACGACGGACTGTCGCTCTTGTTTTGTCGCTTGAATAATGGTTTGAAGTGGATTTTAATTCGTAAAAATGATTTAATTTTGTAAATTAAGCGTCTGCGCGTGTGAAATATTAGAGAAAACGACGAAACAATTGTTTTGATGTTGATATAAACCTCAAGTTAATTTGATCGCTTGGGCGCTTTATGAACTTGAGCGGCTGTCGTTATCAACAGTCCGCTGGGTTGAGCTGTCGTCAAAATCTCCCAAAACTTCGCAATGTGACGCATCAGCATATTGTGAAGAAAAAAATATATAAAATGAAGATTCTGAAAGAAATGAAGGGCTAGTACCCAGAGCTGTAAAGCCAATTAAATTAAGAAAAAGTGAGTGGTTGTTTCGTAGACAGAGAAACCTATAGACAAATTGACGTCCGAAATTGACGTACTAGCCCTTCATTTCTTTCAGAATCTTCATTTTTTATATTTTTTTCTTCACAATATGCTGATGCGTCACATTGCTAAGTTTTGGGAGATTTTGACGACAGCTCAACCCAGCGGACTGTTGATAACGACAGCCGCTCAAGTTCATAAAGCGCCCAAGCGATCAAATTAACTTGAGGTTTATATCAACATCAAAACAATTGTTTCGTCATTTTCTCTAATATTTCACACGCGCAGACGTTTTACAAAATTGAATCATTTTTACTAATTAAAATCCACTTCAAATTATTATTCAAGCGACAAAACAAGAGCGACAGTCCGTCGTCGACCAAGTTCCCGCCAAAATTCCCGATAACCATTGACTTAGAAGTATATCATAGACGCATAAAAACATAATATGGATCTGGCATACCCACAGGAAAAAACGTGTATACCTACACTTTACTGAGAGGATAAAATTGTGGTTAATAGGGCAGCCCATATCAATATTTCTATAATAATAACATCGATTAAAGATTGTTAGAATGTTTTCATATAGCCACGGACACTCAGCATACTATCTGTGGGTAAAAACACCCCAAGTTTACTATCTTATTTACGCATTTTATCTAATAATAGTAATAACAATAATGAGTCCTTCGTAGATACAGTCGCCTCCCTCAACTGGCTACGTTTCGGTGACGTCTTCGGGGAAACGGAGGGTTTTGTCTGTGCAATACATATTGTTACGGGCCTCAGTTGCCCCGACAGAAGTCGACTGGGCTAGGGCCTATCAGTAACCCAACTCGACGAGCAACAGAGGTTTCGGGCCCAAATGGCCTATGGATAATTATTATGTAATGCCTGGACAAACAAACACAAACTTACCGAGGTCCGGAGGTAGGGTCAACCACAAGGTACCGTCAGGGGCAAGTAAATGTTAGGTGTGAGTTGTGTAGGAAGGTGTGTAATGTAACCTGACGTCACCGATGTAATCGGTCAGCAGAACCACATGCGTTGCTCCACTCCACAAGGCGCAATCACTCCAGTGGGCGTTCGCCGCTATCTGAACTCAAGTCTAATGTCACTTAGCACAAACTATAATCGAACGCGAGATCCACCCGGGTCACAAAGTTAGCGTTCCAACCGACAAAACAAAATTCCTTCATACGATATTAAAATAAGACACAAGCCACGCGTCGACGCAAATTAATGGCAATCGAAGTTAAATTAGTCACTCAAACTCAAGGAAAGCCTCGTTGTCACGTATATGAACGAAAAAAGACAACTCAAAAGGAGGCAGTCTTAATGCGACGTAACGATTCTAACCTACACGGCCGTCGCGGACAAAGATTGATCTACACTTAACTTCCCAACCTCCAACCGGCACGGCCGTCGCGCACAAAGATTATTCCAGACTAACTTGCGCGGTCGCAGGTCGCAAAACGAATGCCCCCCGTGCAAACCGCTAAACCGGTTCCTCGCCCGAGAAGAGCGCCTTGCAAGTTTTAAGTGGTTATGATTTGGCCTAAACACATTTATAACAATAACAATAATAATGTTGAAACAGGAAGGGTTGCTAACTCTGAGGGCATGACTTATCTATGCCCGTCAACGTAAGGCCCCTTTCCGAGGCTGAAACATACCGATACCTGGGTATGTCACAGAACATCGGTATCAATGAAGCTGGTATGAAACAGTCAGTTTGTGACGTGTTTTATGCACGCTTGACCAAAGTGCTTAACAGCCTTTTGTCTGGTGTGAATAAGACACACGCATATAACGGTTGGGCCATGCCTGTCCTCATGTTTACCTTTGGCATACTCAGATGGACTCACACTGAACTTAACGCTCTGGATAGAAAAGTCCGCACTACCATGACGTCCCATAGGATGCATCATCTGAGAGCGTCGGTAATGAGGCTGTACTTGCCGCGAAAGCATGGTGGGCGTGACTTTCTGAGCTTGCTCAACATGCATAATCGCGAAGTTTGCAGGCGTTTTCCTGGCGAGATCGGATGATCCATTTTATAATGACGCTATTTCTTGTGATAAAGGGCTTAACCCTCTATCCTTAACCAAAAGGAGAAGAGGCTCCATGGGAGGTACTACAGGGCTCTACATGAACCCTTCGTAGATACAGTCGCCTCCCTCAATATAAACATAACATAAACACTCACGCCTGTCACCCAGAGGGGTAGGCAGAGACTACAGACTTTCATTTGGCACGATTCTGACACACCTCTCTCGCCTCCTTCACATCCATACACATACGCATACATGCTCGTCGGTTAAGGGTATTCATAATTTGGCCCGTTTTCAATAAATCGCCAATTTGGTCGATAAATTTTCGCCTAGGACGTCCCTTTCCGACTCTGCCATTCACTTCTGCAACATAAATTTTCTTTGTCACTCTTTTCTCATTCATTCTTTCCACATGACCAAACCACCGAAGCATTCCTTTCTTAATCCTGGTCACAACATCATCTTGCAAACCACACTCTTCTCTTATTGCACAATTTCTTACCCTGTCGTTCAGATTCAGCCCTAACATACTCCTTAACGACCGCATTTCTACTGCGTTGATTCTACTCTCGTGCTTCTTCTGCCACATCCAACTTTCACTACCATACGTTAAAGTAGGGACCAATACAGCATTGTGAATTGCCATACGTGCCTTTTTTGACACATTCTGACTTTTCACAATAGAGTATAGGGCCCCATTTACTCTATTTCCCGCATTCACTCGTCGTTCTATATCCTTATCATATCTCCCATCCCTGCTAAATACGCAGCCCAAATATACAAACTCATCTACTTGCTCGATCAACTCCCCTTCTATTCTTATTTCACAATTCGTTTTACTTTATTCTCTTTCAAAAACCATAACCTTCGTCTTACTTGCGTTCACTTTCACACAGAAATTAATGTAACCATCATTTGCAACTCGGCCGCCGACGACGCAAGGATAACTTGATCATCGGTGTACAAAAGGCATTTGACGGTTAACTCACCCATTCTTAATCCGCATTCTTCAACTTTCAAATTTTGCAAACAACTGTCTATAAATAGGTTGAACAGCCACGGGGAAGCCACACAGCCCTGTCTGACACCTTTATGGATGTCAAACCAGTCCGAGTAGACCCCGTTGATCCTAACACAAGCACTAGAGTCCCTATAAAGAGACTCCAATGCCTGTATCAAGCCAGCGCTCAACCCAAATGAGTTCAGTGTTTGCCATAGCACATCCCTTCCACTCTGTCATAGGCCTTTTCCAAGTCCATGAACGCACAAAAAACCTTTTGGTTTTTGGTCAAAAACTTCTCCGCGATCATGCGCATGGAAAAGACTTGATCTGTACATCCCATTCCCTTTCTAAATCCCGCTTGCACATCCCAAATTTTTCCAACAGCTTCTTTCATGACCCTTTCAATCAGTACCTTAGCATACAGTTTTCCCACAATGCTAAGAAGGCTGATGCCACGGTAGTTTTTACAGTCCTGCTGCGATCCTTTTCCTTTATATACTGGGACTATCACGGCTTTGCACCAGTCTACCGGTACCCGCTTCAGTTCCCAGCATAAATTAAACAAGGTGTGCAGCAGGCCTGCCACGACTTTCTCTCCAGCCCTTAGCATTTCGAGTGAAACTCTATCATATCCGGCAGCCTTACCTGCTTTCATGCTTTTCGTTGCTTTCATTATTTCATCTATACTTATCTCGCTACCTCTTTCCTCTTCTTTCGGAGTTTCTACTTCACTTAGTACACACGTTGTTTCCTCACTCATAAACACGCTTTCAAAATATTCCTTCCATCTCTTTAAACTCAAAACTTCATCATTCTCCATTCCATCTCTTATAACATTCATCATAGGCTGTTTTGAATGTCCCCTGGTAGTTCTTACAAGTTTCCAGAACATTTTAATATTTGCCTGGAAGTTATCCGATATTCTTCTATCATTCTTATCCGTTCTTTCTTGCTTTTTTCTTTCAACTACTTCTTTTACTCTCTTATTAAGATGTCTAAAGAATGCCTTTTTTCTTTCAATA